TGGGAAAATTCATCATTTTTGACAGCAGCTACGAACAGGAATTTATTGCGTCAAATTTCGAATTCCAGCTATTTCTGTCTGTCGAATTCTGGCATCCTGATTTAAATGCCGAGCAACAAAAGTCGGTGCCGTACATTTTGTGAAAATGAAAATATTCCTTGAATACCCAAATATTCTTTGAACTTCCTCTGTGAATAATGCAAATATCTGAAATCACGACATATCGATTAAGCTGTAAAGGGGTCATCTACCGATTGGACGAATGGCCAATCAATGAATGAAAAGAGGGGAGATTTACTGCTCGTTTGTTCTTATGATAGAATTGTTGTACAGTACACTTTAACGCCTATGGAGCTAGTGTAATTATGACTGTCACTGAACGTACTAATTGCTGATAGCATTAGTGGCGGAGAGTGCGCTTGAATTCTACCGTTTATAGTACTTACGGTGATAATGTGCGTGCTCTGAAAGATAGTGAACAAACAGAAATGGTAATAAAATAAGCTCAGAGATAATTAATCTTGTTTACAAAATATCTCCGGCTACCATATACATTGAAATAATAGCTGAGCAAGAGATGATTACTCAGTACTTACTACCGTTTAACCTTGTGGATCACGGAGGCAGCGGTGTGAAGCGATTTCCAAGCTTTTTGATCTTCTGCCAGCCTCTCAGCATCGGAAATGATAATCTGGGTCTGCCAGAGTCATCAAGCCATTTACGACAAAGATTCTTGTTTCCCATTGTTACCTTCGGTCAAATGAGCGAACAGTATGTGTTTCGTCATCGTTTACGGAAACACACGCAAAGTGCTCATCACAGCTATGACTTTCTAGCCTGGATACGCAGCAGCGGCATTCATAAATATCTGAAATCCAGATTTTGTCGAGGCCTATGAGCTAAAGATTCTTCTCAAAAAACCCATTTCAGCCGCTTGTACCCGGTATTGATGTTGTTCAGTCATAATCAACGACTCATGACCCCAGGGTTGAAAGTGGAAATGAAAACTGACAGTTTTTTCTTCAAACTCAGCTTTGCCTCAGTCACAGTAGTTCAGAATGGCCTGCGCAGAAAGCCGCTAGCCATTCCCATTCGCCGGGCGATCTTCCATTCCCATCCTACATCACCAGTAAACACGAATCCGAAGTACGTGCTTCTTCGTCTATCCGCAGAGTACACCGAGAAAACACCAGATTCGTTTTAGATGCTTCACTCGCATGCCGGATACGTCGCACTCGGCAACGAACCGCTTTCTAGGGAGCACTGAAGATCAGTTTCAGAAGATGCTGATAAAACAAGGTCGTCTGCAAACAGCAGCCTTCTTGTTTCCACTTCTCCTACACCGATATACTCATCGCCTTGGCAGCGCCTGTCTATTCTGTCCATGTACGACACAAACAGGAGAGGGAACATAATGCAGCCTTGGCGGAGGCTAATACCAGCAGTGATAAACTTCAAGATATTTCAATTTACTATGATGCGGTACCTGCCATCGACGATTATTGTAACAGTTCTAATCGAAGATAAGATGCACTTTCCTACTTAACAGCCTATATGTTGTTTTCGTCTTTTGGTTTTGTCACGTTGAGTGTGTAAAGTTGAATGATTATTCCACGGACTGCATGCTGGTCGAACTGCAGTTGATCAATATCGTGATTGGCACGTCTTAACCATGATGTTCTGCCCTCTGTTCACTTAATCTGTTTAGCTCTCGTTTATTTTCCTATAACTGTGGATTTCCCTGAAATTTTGTATCGCTGTAAAGTCCTAATCAGAAAAACGTCAAGTTTACCTCTACTGCGATATGTAGAGTAACGAGTTTCAAATTAAAGAAAAGGAGTTTCAGGAATCACAACCGGGGCAGAAAGTTAAAATCAATTTTCTATTGGGAAGTTAAATTAAATGCATTAAAGATGCGAGTGAAAATTTCAACAATTAATTAGCAATATGAAAAAAACACGTTTCGTACGGGAAAAGCTCGGGGTTCTCACGTACTATTACGAGGAAATGCCAGGACAAGGAATTGCTAGCGCCTGAATTACGCCAGTAGAGGATGGTGATAGAGTACACTAGGAAATTGGGGAAGGCTCAGAAATAAGCCGCAAACAATTACCGGTTCAGCTGAATAAGCTAAAGAGTTAGGCAGTGGCGGAAAACTGTATCATTACCAGTAAAACTTTCCGCATCAACTTAGAGAGAACAATATGTAATAGTTGGTTTCGTTGCTCGCATTCGCAATGTCTATTCATTTTGAATAGTTTAGATGAACCATCAAGATTAGGATCATTCGGATGTCTTCAATTACGACTGTAGAGTAATATATCCTGCGGCATATGATAATGATTGACTGTTTCTGCTACAACGCAGGTAATCCTGCTGAATCGCCCGTTTCAGTCATGAAGACTGTTTAGTGTCACTGTCTTTTTCGTGCATGAGGGGCCAAATAATGAGCATCAGAAGCACACACCAAATCATCTTGAATACGCTAGCGTCTTTACTTCGCCGTTGCCGGCCCCAAATTCGGTTCAGAAAAGAGGAGGGCAGGACATCGTGCCGAAGTTTCCGTAAAAATCAGCCACCTGCACTTCATGGAATCGACGTCATGGAAAATAATATTGGCTCCATCCACGTTCGGGTTACCAAGGACCTCTAACGCCGTGCGGAAGGAAGACTTGAAGCAGATTGTGAAAAGTCCGCGATCATAACCTGCTCATTACCCTCTGTCAGCTTGGGACGTAGCAGCCCAACAACGGCTGATGAAGACCAACGAAACGACGACAAAGATAACCAGTCAGCAACGGAGTCGCTAACTGTTCTGAACGGAGGAAGCAGACAGCACAATGCCATTACAGCACGACAATGGGTGATAACAGTCGGAAATTCGAATAAATTCTCACTCAGAGTAAAATAACAAGATTTAGTCGATGGGGCCATAAGGTGCCAATTCGGCATAGTTTGACTCTCCTTAACGTGATGCCAAGGTTCTGAAAAATTTAAACTTCTGCAGGTAGAAAAAATTCTACTCAGGCAACGACATAACGGCGCGCACTCAGGCCGGTGTTGGTGTTCTGGTAGAACCCAACCTTGCCGATAGAATTATTGATTGGAAGAGTGTCAGCGGAAGGGTGGTAATCCTCCGACTGAAGCTACAACAGGCTAAATCGATTACCTTGTTGCAGGTCTATGCGCACAATTTGGAACGAGAATATGAGACCTTCCTTGAGGAAGTGCAGTATGCTCTGTCTGAAGTGCCGAATACAGAGTCCCTCAT